ATTGAAGTGTGACATCAGTCATTATTTTGATCAAACTATTATCTACAACTTCTAAAGTATGACTTTAAATTGATTGAAAGTTTAGAACATGGTAGCATACTGTACGTATATATAATTGTTGTCATGGCAACACATCTGACAATATTCATTTTTCGACCAAATGTTCAATGATTTGTATATTTTATACAATTTATTGATGAGAATAGCTTATACAGAAATATAACCAACCTGTAGACCACAAAAAGTGTCATTCTATTTTAAATAATTATAGATGTACCGATGTCTACCTTTCAGATCGTGCATTTCTTGGTGTGAAGTACTAGCTGTAACCCTTATTTAACCAACTATGTTTTGATATGTGATTTTGTGGACTTAATTGAGGAATTGTGACATTGGTAGTAGATGGTGTGATGAGAGTTGTACATCTAAACAAGCAGCCTTTCGGCTGAGATAGCTCCACTGTTAGCAATCCACATTTCAATTAAAGAACAGAAGATATCTTTAGAAAATAAACAATATGTATAGTATCAAGCAATGGGACTTCCTGTTTTCAACAAAAATTCAAAAATATCACTTTTCACCAAAAATGACAAAAACAATCAAAATTAGATAATTAAAGATATCACCACGAAATTAACAATCTGAAAGAGGTCCACATGTAGTACCTATGTATGTAGTATAAAAGCAATCGGACTTGCGTTTTTCAACAAGAAGTCGAAAATATCACTTTTTACCGAAAATTACAAAAATAGTCACCACCAAAATTAGAGAATTAAAGATATCATTACAAAATGAACAAATCTGAGAGAGGTTCACATGTCGTACCTATATAAGTAATATCAAAGCAATTGGACTTGTGGTTTTCAACAAGAAGTCAAAAATATCACTTTTTACCGAAAATTACAAAAATAGTCACCAAAATTAGAGAATTGAAGATATCATTACAAAATGAACAAATCTGAGAGAGGTCCACATGTAGTACCTATATAAGTAATATCAAAGCAATTGGACTTGCGGTTTTTAACAAGAAGTCAAAAATATCACTTTTTACCAAAAATATTCACCAAAATTAGAGAATTGAAGATATCATCATGAAATGAACAAATCTGAGAGAGGTCTACCCAAGGTACATGTACACCAAGTATCAAAGCATTCAGGCTTGTAGTTTTCAAGAAGAAGTTGAAAAAGTAAAACATTGACACAAACGACGACGAACAATCACTCGTATGATAAGCTCCGCTCGACAAAGTTAAAGCTAAAAAGTTGTATTTTACATTCATTTTTTATTACTGGGCTGCTATCATACATTTTGGTTCATGTTAGTATATATTTTGAATGATTCAAAGTTATTGTATGAAATTGACTGATTAAAAATGATTGCGGGACATTTTGAGCCGAGCGAGTTGTGATTTGATATACGGAAGACAGATGGACTGTCGAATGTTGATGGAGTTGCATCATTTTCACCAATTCTGAAAGTGCGAGTACACTGATGCGGTTAAGCTCCATTATTAGCTATGTGCAATCGAATCTTTCAAATTGTCACTATGTCAAACTATATTGTGTACCCGAGTCCAAGGTAAGTAAACTTAGCACTGCCTATTTATGTTTTTATGGTGGACACTAAAGAGACCCAACCTCTTTATAAACGCTCTCACTGCAACATTGCTGAAGCTTCTGTCTAAACTCAAAGTAAACTGCATATTTAATATTTGCCACCATATAGGGTGTCTGTTACCAGTAGAAGTCTTCTAACTAGGGCTTCAAGAAAGGATGAATTCCATGTTGGAAATGCGAATAACAGTAATACTTCACAGACTAAGATATAATTGTATTGAGCTTTGCCAGAACAAGCATGGTTTCTACAGTCCAAAGAAATTCCTAAACTAAATTGGCATAGCATCTTCTATTATGGGATGTGTAAACCACAACATTGTTTCCTAAAAAGCATGGCTGGCAATTGGTCAATACAAGTTTTTCTCAAATATTTATGGACTTTGAATAAATACGATGCTCCAGTAAAAGTTCTATAATAATAATATTACATCATAATTTATTACATCATAATGACAGTTCATTCTAAGTTGAAGTAATAATTTATATGTCCATTCAAATTATTACTGTAGTTATAAAAAGGACACTCGTTAAATTTGTAATCCATAATTACAAATGATATTGTGACAATTTTATCAAGATAGCCCAAATTTTTTATTTGTTCCACTGATAAAGTTAATATTGCCTCACATCTGTCCAGTAGAAGACTAGAATACACAACAACAGAGCCTTTTGTAACCATTGCTTTTAAATGCAATTAACAACTTCCTTGCTGTTTCTGGTAAACGAGTCACTATCAGCAGTTACTATTTCATCCCATAAAGCTTGTCTGCTGGCTGCCCAATATAATGGTGTGGACAAGCTATCTACCCCGGTAATTGTGGCTCTCGTAGGCAAATGGTTACTTGATGAATCAGATATCACCTCAAGTAATACCATGCTGGTGGCTTTATGTCCTGTCCTTGCAATATCCAAAAGTTAAAAGAGTTACACCATGCAGGATATCTCCTTCAATGCAGTGAAATGCAATGTTAGTAATTACAACAAGATATTCCCAGGCTGCAAACAATGTGTACACTGAAAGAGAAAATAGCAGCATATTAGTCCACTCACTCAAACAAATATAATTGTATTGTGTCAAAGCATATTTTTGCATTCAATATGAATATGCATTGTCATAATTAATTTTGAATACAAACAAGTTTTGGGGTTGAAACAACAGTCTACCAAATGTCCTTGATGTAAATATCTTACAAATACATTAGTGCCTAATTTGACGACAATGACAACACCGGACAAAAATATTTCCCTTAATATACCTTTCCCTTCCATCTTTGATGGTACAGGCAATGAAATTGTTTGATGTGTAGATTATATGACACATACCTCCATGTTCACAGTACCAGTTGTGTCTGAAGTAATAATAGATGCTAATGAAGAAACATGCTATGTTAGACAAAAATAAAATAACCATCTTCTCTGTAGTATAGTGTGTCTGTGAGAGAAAACAAATTTGTGAAGCTTTATGTACTACAAGTTATAAATATTCTATATGGCCATGTATTATGTAAATTTGATATCTTGCTAGCAGTGAAGTAAACATACTTACCAGACAGGCTGTATATGATTTATTCTTTATTACAATACTTTGTACAATCTTTGTCAACATGTAACACATTGAGCATATAATAAATGATACAAACATAAACACGTGAGCATCTGAAAAAAAATATATATGCATAAATTGACTAGGTAGATAACCATATTGTGAAAATCTATGTGTTATTATATTATAGCAGTGTATCACTGCCATCAATGTATCATTGTGATTGGTTGGGAGACTGTTTTAATTTATGCAAGCCATGGTTAAATAGAGCATAATGTACAGTTATGATGTTCCAAATAAGGCCCAGAATATGAATACAAGTTCAATTCGTAAACAAATAAAGGGAAGGGCATTTAAATTTTAGGGAAATTTTGGGGTAATATTGTTAACATGATTTGAAGATATTATATACATATTTTATTTTGGCAGTGGTTAAATAAAAAAAAAAATAGTACAACCTACAATTTTTGCAGGCTATTCTTTGCGACATGTTTTCGTTGTCTGCAACATAGACATGGCTGAGTATCATGTTTGGGAGCTGGAAACACAGGCTACAAGTCATTGTCAATGACACGTCCCCGTTCCGTTCATATTTGAGTGACATATACATTCAAAGCAGATCATGACCGAAATGCACCTGCATATGTACAACACATTGTACTAAATCTGAACAAAATCCATGCATGCATGACTGAGATCCGGTTCTGGAATTGTGAAAATACGTGATTTTAATGCATTTTCGGCCTTAAAATGGCCATCATTCAGCTATTGCTAAGCGGATCATGAAACAAAAGCACATATCTATTTGTGACATGATGCACCATGTGTGTGTGAAGTTTGAACTTGATCAATCCAGACATGTCTTGGATACGGATCCAGAACTGAATTCTTTAAGAAAATGGCCGCCAGTCGGCCATTTCGAACTTGATCCGAAAAAAAAAATGACGTGCATCAAGGTCCTATTATGTTTAATGTAAGTACCGAATTTGAACAAAATCCGTCCATGCATAACTGAGATCCGGGTTCGGAATGGTGAAAATGTGCGATTTCAATGCATTTTCGGCCTTAAAGCGGCCGCCATTTGGCTATCGTTAATGGGATCATGAAACAAATGCACATACATATTTGTGACATGATGTACCTTGTGTGTGTGAAGTTTGAACTTGATCAATCCAGACATGTCTCGGATACGGATCCAGAACTGAATTCTTTAAAACAAAATGGCCGCCAGTCGGCCATTTCGAACTTGATCCGAAAAAAAAAATGACGTGCATCAAGGTCCTATTATGTTTAATGTATGTACCAAATTTGAACGAAATCCGTCCATGCATAACTGAGATCCGGGTCCGGAATGGTGAAAATGTGCCATTTTGATGCATTTTCGGCCTTAAAATGGCCGCTATTCGTCTATCGTTAATCGGATCATGAAAAAAATGCATGTGCATATGTCCCATATAATGTGTGATGTATGAGTGAAGTTTGAACATAATCGGTCCATGCATGTTCGAGATACAGGTGATCACGGACGCACGGACGCACGGACGGACGCACACAGGGCAAAACATAAGTCCCCGTTTTCGGACTCCGTCCGAACGGGGACTAAAAATGTATGTTACGGGCAGCGAAAATTGTCCTGTTGAAGCATTTCAAAATGTATTTGTCCATATTACAAAATGCGTTGTTTCAGGGGCTCCGTGTAAATGTAACACCCACTGACACAGTCTGGTATTCGTGAAAATAAATTGGAATCTATGATGAAAGAGATTTTGATAGCAGCAAATTTGTTGACAATTCATACACATCAACTGCGTGCACTGCGTTCAGCAGGAGTTGAAATCAGACACATTTATGTATTTCACGACACATAAAAACGAAGCTAGTGTTCGGCCCGACACTAACAAAGTCACCAATAATCAGAATCAAGGAATATCCAGTATCCTGTCTCGCTGTTTTAGTATAAAAACAAATCCTCTGATAGAGAAGTGACCGTAGCGATCGAAGCGGGTGTTTCCGACAACATCATCCGTACCCCAGAAAACACCGGCATAGTAGCGTCTGGACCAACTCCCGCAGAATCTGGCACCGCTTCTATTTCTAATACCCACAATCAAAGTACACATGCAGCATCTGCTTTGTTCCATAACTGCGCCTTTAGTGGACCAATTAATGTCAGCATAACAAACACAAAATAGAAAATTCGACAACGATATTAAGTCCACAGCACATGTTTTCAAAAATGGCGCACAGTGCGCGTTGCCTGTAATTTCTGCTGATGATAATTTATTCACAGCTATTCATATGTAAATTTAGCATTCAGCTTGTTCAGCTTATTAAATTTCTAGTTATTTGCTAGTTTCTTGCGTTGTAGAAATAAACTTCCTTTGATTGTGATGATATCTAAGCTTGCTGTTCTGTGCGTTTCTGTGTACTGAGTGCGAGTGTGTGATAAAAGATTAAATACTGGTTCCAGGGCCCATTTCATCTAATCATCGTCATTCGAAAACGTCTCTTTCCTATTTTATAAAAAGGCGAGAGTGTAGAAAATGCTACAGAAATGAAGTTGGTACAATATAATAGCAATAAACCACAGCCGGAGTCGGGTATACCACTCAATATTGCACAATTCACTCCATATGTCGTAA